GCTCCAAGTTGGATACAGTGGAGTTATAATTGAAAGGCACAGTAATTATGAGAAACGTCTTATTGTGTGCAGGATTGCAACTCCAGAACACTGAACTGTATATTGGTGTATTGCATAACTAAATTGTTCTGGGGTTGAGTCCCCAGTGATGTATGAATAAATGAATCTAAGGCATTCCCATAGACAAAACAGGTTGGAACCAGGTGTTCCATAGCACAGTTTAGTTCATTTATTTTTAGTTCTAGTTCATGAAAATCTGTGAGGGCATCATCCATTCATAACTATTTTTATTTAGTAATGTCTTGATTTGGATTTTAACTACAATTTCAGAGCATCATTTACTCTTCTTCGGTATTCAATTGAAACCAAAACAGTAGTTAATAAAATAAAACAACAATCAGGGATATTGGACATCATGACGAGAGGAAAAGAGCAGCAGAATCCTCTTGCTTGAACTTTCTGTCGGCCAACTATACTGAAACAAAAATAAGTTTCACCCTTACTTGGAACCAGATTGCGCATAATACTTCATAAATAAAAAATGTAGTCTTTCCGCTATCTCTTATTAATGTAAGTCCTTGGTGATGAACATTTCAATCAGCAGCCTCTACTTGCACAGGAGACATTTGTAACGTATCTCTTTAAAATGTTTAAACAACGAATGTTGCCAAATTGCTGTACTGCCCAATTGCACATGTCAAAATGTTGATCTTTCTCAAAGCTTGTGCGTTCTTGCAAAGTATACATTGATGTATAAACAGTATCACCAAAGTCCCTATGCAGATCAGTATCTCAGGCCACTGATAATGTTGCAACACAAGAAACACATTCTGAAAGTACAGTACTACCATTCCACAGAAAGAAAACATGAACTAATGTGAATGCATGTTATAAGTTACATTTTATTAATGTTTCTTCCTTGAAGATCCTTGTTCTGATTCTGTATCCAGGTGTAGACTTCATCATTTGTGGAGTCCTGTAGCTCAGTGGTTAGAGCACTCACTTTGCAAGTGAGAGACCTGAGTTCAATTCCAGGCAGAGGGTGAAACCTTGGGCAAGTTTCCTTACTCCACACAGAGCCTAATAATAATCCCTCCAAAAACCCAAAACAATAATAAATTGGTCATTTTCAATCTACGACTGTTTGTGGGACATTGCTGTGCGCAATTGGCTGCCGCGTTCGCCCACAAATATACAGTCAATTCACTTTACAGTGTGTTCTGTGAAGCGCTTTGGGACGTCCTCCCAACGTGAAAAGCGCTATATCAAATGCAAGGATTATTATTATTATTATTATTATTATCATCTGTTCCTTCATTTTTACATGGAACATTATAGCATAGAAACAGGTCATGCAGCCCAACTAGTCAGTGCTTGTGTTTATAATCACCATGAGCCTCCATCCATCTTTATTCCACCTCCCACAGCCTCTATTCCCTTCTCCCTCATGTTTTCTCTTAAGTATAAGGATGTTTTCTGCTTCAGCCACAGTTTCCCGCAGCGCGTTCACATTCCCATCACCCGTTGCATAAAGGAGTTCCTCCTAGACTTTCTTTTAGATCTGCACCTTGCTGCATTTAAGATATATTTACGCCCCCTCATTTTCACCAATAAGTAGAAACATTTTGCACTGATAAAATTTACAAATTAATTACCTGAGAAAAGAAGGGGATAATACAACTTTACACTTACGCAGAATTATCTTGTGTGCATCTTAACATTAACATAGTACAATGCATTATTTGAAAAGAGGACCAGAACTGCAGAAATTAGTAGCTATTATTATTGAGGAATGAGGACAAAAGTGGCATATCTTAAAATAACATGAATTTTTTTTTTAGGGGGGAACATAGAAATTTTCAGCACAGAAGGAGGCCGTTGAGGCCATTGTGTCTGTGCCATCGAATCTTCAATATTTTCTAATTACATCTTAAATTACTTCTCTATACTATAGTTTTGAATTACTACCTAGTCAGACTAGAAATGTGGTGTCTTCAATTGGGTTTCATCTATTTCTGTAACCACTTGTGTGATTGTCTGGAAAAGCTGTTCTGTAGAAATTACAAAGCCTTCACTTCTCTCGTGATGAGAAGTGGCATTATATGCAGGGTATTGTGCTTTTTCATTATGATAGTTTATTCCATGAAATACATTCAGATGCCTAACAGAACATGAGAAAACAATCTTCATTTCACACTGTACTTCCATGTCAATAATAATAATAATAATCCTTGCAATTGATATAGCACCTTATCACGTCCTCGAGACATCTCAAAGCGCTTCACAGGATATACTGTAAAGTGAATCAACTGTATATTTTGTGGGCAAAACGCAGAAGCCAATTTACAAGGCTACACTTAAAGAGGGTGCAGCTATCCAATTTAACAACAGTAATTCAGTTAAGCTGATTTTATTTACAGTAGTTCTGATTATTGCACTGATGATTGATGTTAGTTATTAAACTGGACACTTATGTGATTACTTCAACATTTCATTAAAGGAACTGCAGACATAAAAGGTTCCTTTGCTGCTGAGGAGCTGATATTGGTAAGCCTAACCTTGAAGTGCATCATGCGGCAGCATGACTAATGAACTAGTTCCATATCCAACAACTATCAGCACTATTCTCAAGCTGATCCATCAAGAATAAACAATGAGAAGCTCTCAGGAAACTGCGTTTCTGTGCACTAATTTGATCACTAAAACTGTAGGATCTTTGTAGAACCCACTTACCTCAAAGAACATCAGGGATTTCTGTGACGTTATCAGTGGCATCATTCAGTTCGGGTGGATTGATAATGAAAGCGTTTAAAGCTGTAGTGTCCCTTATCCGAACACGTGGATGGTTGGGTCAATTCAGTGGATTTTGAATCAATCTTATTGATGATTTCTGTGCAATATTGGCCATTTCACTCTCTCTTTCTCTCTGACATGTTCCTCAATTAGCTTCACTGTAGATAATCCAGGTGAACTTTTCAAGCATTTTTTAATGAAGTATTCTACCTGTACTAGAGTTAGATTTTTTTCAACATTCGTATTTTACTCCATCTCTATTTAGTTTTGCGCGTGAGTAATCCTACCTCCACCAAACACATACTATTCTTCCATTGATGTAGCGGTCAGACAACCTGCTCCCAAGCCTCTGTAGTAAGGCCCAAGTTCCCTTCATTCATGTGGTTCCCTCCATTAGCCATCTCCCTCAAAAATACAGAAACTCGGGGTAATTGAGTTGGGTAATTACAAGCACAAAGTAAGTCCAGGGCACAATACACCTAAACACCAAATCACTGCACCCACTAACTACCATTGACTCCCTTCATAAAGAGAAGGGCATTTCTCCTCGTACCCAGGGCAACAAATATAATTGGTCAATCTGGGTGCAAAATTGGCCATCACATTCCCCCACAAGATCCACACAGTCACAGCACTTTACAACATATCCTGTGAATGCTTTGCAAACATCTCAATGCCGTAATTTGGCACTATATCGAATTTAAGGATATTATTATTATAATTTAATTCAGAATTAAAAATATCAATATATTGGAAGGGCTTTATGGTACATGGACTAATGTTCAAATGCTGGAGGGAAATTTATTTTTGGGTAACATGACTATTTAAGTCTAAGTATTCCATTCATTATATGTAATAAGCACAATTAGATGCCAATTATGTGTCATCAGCTCCTGCAGGGGGAATAATATCTACGCTCGAAATAAGTATATAATGCTGGCAGTGCAGGGGAAATAGTATCTGTGCTCCAAGTATACAATCATAGCAGTGAACATGTAAAACTATTGCCATGTGCCCTTCTACACCTGTCCATTCTACCTACATAGATCCCTTAAAGGGACCTTGTTACAGTCTCTTGCAAACCTTACTGCAGTGTTTATCATCACGATGGGCATAAGAGTTTCAAACAGACAAACTACCTTACCATTAATTCTTAATTTATGGTATGGTAACTGCGGGTGTGAACTCGACATTTCAAATTACATTGCATCACACCACCAACTCCAGAGTCATTTTATCTTCCTCGAATAAAATATTTGGAAAAAAACATTTTCCAACAGAATGAAACTTCTTCATCAGTGTCGAACTGTGTTTAATTATCCCTTCATCTGGTCTCACCATGAGAAAAAGGCAGCAGGACCTAACGTGATAAAATGCAACGTCACCTTTTATATCCCACATCCCCATCAGCCCAATCCCAATCCCACTCTCTGTACCCAAATAAACGTTAGCAATTGGAAATAATTAGCAGTGTCATTGGAAAGCAATATACGAGTTGCAAACTGCCCAAAAAACACAAAACAGTGCAAAAATGTGCAAAAGTCTGGAGGAAGACCAGGCAACAGGAATGACACGTTAGATTGCAATTCCAGCTGCGTTCACCATTGCACTGTAACACAGCAGTTGGAATTAAACCATCCATCACCATCACCAGCACTGGGTGGGAGATAGGAGATACATGACCCACAGTTGATCTGCATTATTATTTCGTGTGTGTATGTGTGGGGGGGGGTGGAGGGGAAGGGGGTGATGGAGGAGTGCAGTGGGGTGGAGGGGAAGGGGGTGATGGAGGAGTGCAGTGGTGTGGAGGGGAAGGGGGTGATGGAGGAGTGCAGTGGTGTGGAGGGGAAGGGGGTGATGGAGGAGTGCAGTGGGGGGGGTGGAGGGGAGTTGGGAGGGAGTGGGGGGGGGGGTGTTGTGTTAGGGGGTTACAGTTTGCAAATATAAAACCCAAACCCCTAACAATTGAAGGGTGGGAATCAACCCCCACCCACCCTCCCACCCCAGGTGGTGGTTGTTGTTGTTGAGGGTGGGTGGGGGGTACGGTCACAGTGTGTGTGTGTGTGTGGGGGGGGTACGGTCACAGTGTGTGTGTGTGGTGGGGGGTACGGTCACAGTGTGTGTGTGTGGGTGTGTGTGTGTGGGGGGGGTACGGTCACAGTGTGTGTGTGTGTGTGTGTGTGTGGGGGTGGGGAGGGGGTACTCACTCCGCATAGCCGGTGGCCCAGGGCAGACTCCGGCTCTCCTTCAGGATGAGGATGGGTCGGGCGATGTGGTCGGCGGAGCACTCGACCTCGTCCTGCGACAGCCCCAGGAAGTCCGGCCTGGCGTAGGGGAACCTCGGGGGCAGGTCGGTCCCGTTGAGCTGATCGGCCCCGGAGCCGCCGCCGGACATGATGCCGCCCATGAAATTGGCCACCGCGGACTTCACCCGCGTCAGCATGTTCCTCCCCGGCGGTGGCTTCCCCTCCCCGGAGCCTCTGCCTCCGCCTCCGCCTCTCCCTCTGCGCCTCTCCGTCTCGCAGGCGGGAGGGGGCACTCGCACTGAGAGGGAGGGAGGGAGGTGGAGGTGGAGAGGGAGGGAGGGAGGGGGAGAGGGAGGGAGGGAGGGAGGTGGAGGGAGATGGAGAGATGGAGGAGATGATGGAGGATGAGGGTATCTCGCACCACAACAAACCCCGGTGGATAGGGTCAGAATGGTTGGGTTTGTGAACGCGGAAATAAAGCCATGATGATGGGAGTCATGTGACGGGGAGGGAGGCCGTGGGGGGGGGGTGGGGGGGGGGTGGGGGGGTGGGGGGGGGTCTTTGGTGAGGGGCTGGAGGAGCACTCACTCACTCACTCACTCACACACTCACTCCTCTCTCCTCCTCCAGGAGACCGAAAAGCAAAGGGCAAAAAAAGAAACACACAAAAAAAATCACCCCCTCAGCTTGACTGCAGACTGTCAGAGACCATCCCCTCAGCAGTGACAGCCCAGAGAGGATGGTCCTCTTCCAGAGCCATCTGCACAACACCAGGATTACCCTCTCTCTCTCTCTCCCTCTCTCTCTCCCTCCCTCCCTCCCTCTCACACACAGAGGTCACTGCACTTGTCAACAACCCTCACTTAATCCTTGTCTGTCTGGTTCCTGATCAATCCAGGTCTCCCGAACACCTTCGGCGGTCAGTGAAAGATGACTACGTTTCCACAAGAATCAGATGATTAAATCCCCCCACTCCACCCCAAAGCCCTGTTGACTTTGACGTACAGTACTTTCTCGTTCTCCCTTCAAAACTTCCTGCTTATGTCAGCCACGTATTTTGCAAGTGACTCTCTGGGTGTCCTCAATCTGCCACTGTCTCCGTGCACAACTCATGCGATTTCACATCCTCATAGATTCACTTGCAGATTCACATCACTCTGACATTCAACCCAAATCCATGTTTAACTACAGTATTTGCACCTACCCACACACGCACTCTGGGGACGGTCCCCAAGCCTCGGCTCTTGCCAACCTGCGCCTCACACTTTTCGGAATTAGGTGAGCAGGATGTGTCCCTCCAGGGAGAGAGGGAGAGAGTCCATGGAATTCCAGCAATCTATCTCTGGGATTTCCATGTGTAGTTGGGATACGTGGAATTCTCAGCTCGGTTTGTCTTAAGCACGGTCATGGGTTTCCGCATTTGTGACAGACACCCGGCTGACCAAGAAAAACAAATCCTCATAGACTACAGAATCACATTCCTGAACCCTGACATTTAACCAAATTCCATGTTTAGGTACAGTATTTCCGCTGAAATTCACTCGTACGATCCATGATTGAATTGTCAATTTCAAATGGGTCACTGACCACTTTATTCTTGAGGCTAGAGATTCTCTTTGCTGATCTGTGATGGGTGAGAAAAGCCTGATCACTCCTCTCTTTTTACCTGTGGTACAGATGCAGTTAAGAGCTCAACTGGCCGCTATCTCTGGGCTGGAGATGGCGATTAACGATACTCGATTGCAACCACAGCTCAATTTATCAGTTTGGGGGTGACATTGAACCACTAACCTATCATTAACCTCCTCCTTAACACCCTCTTGCATTCAGTATCAATTATGGCTGTTTTTTTTTAACAGAAACCAAGAGTTTGATCACTGACCAAAAGAGAAATGTAATAGGAAACAACAACCTCAAAAAAACAGAAAATAAATCCCATGGGGGCAGGGGAAAGCCCTTCAGAGATTAACCCACAAGATTTCCTTCCTAAAGCGATTCATTACTGTGTGCAGTCATTCTGAAACTGCACCATGAGACAAGTCAATAGCTAACCTGGCCAATGTGATAGCAGGATTGATATAAAGCACAGAAAGGCCCTGGTGTGAAATGTTACACAAACTTCTGTTTTTTTCCAATGACTATTTAGTCAATGGGATACGGTTTGTACAACACTGCAGTTTTCACAGGAAGCAACGTATTGGTTAATTTCACAGGGTGGATTTAGCACCAGTTATACTGAAGATATCAGTGATAGTTTCAATCTCCAAGGAGATAATCTTACACCCAAGTCTTCGTGGAGAAAATTTTCCAGTTGGAAATGTTTATCCAATTTGGAAATAGGTACTGTAGTAAGGGTTTACATGAGCAATGTTTCTGAGTAAAACTTACATTCGATACAGTATCACACAATGAATTTTGAAGTGTTGAAGATTGTTGTTGTTTGGTAAATGCAGTATCCAATGTGCGCTAGCAACATTCCCCAAACAGCAACTGTAAACGTTAACAATACTACTGTATTTTGTGAACATGTTGTGAACCCAGAGGAAACTATACTTTTCTTCATGTCAGCTCAAAATATGTCGCTAATAATTATGGAGCGTAATTTTGTACAGGTTATACAAATTCTCGGGTTATTGACTGACTCAGACATTGATAGGAATGAAAATTCTAATATTGTGAAAATTATCGCTGGCGATAATATAATGATAATTTTCACATTGAAATCATAATTTCACTCCATAATTTATTTAACCAGTTTTAAGTGAGGAAGGAATATTGCCAAGTACACCAGGAGAACTTCCTGTGCGACTTCAAAATAATATCGCAGGGTTTTTGACATATCTTGGAATTTGTAACATATTCAGAATTTTTTTAAATATCCTGGAATTTAGTGTTGAACAACTTTTTTGTGATTAATGTTGTCTGTAGTGAAAAGGGAGACTTCAGACGGTATTTTCCTATAGCACTCCCTCAACACCAGATTATAATAAGAAATTATGCTGTGGAGTTTCGAACTCACAACCTTCAAACCTAGAAGAAATATACAAAAAAGTGACAAATGACTGGTGAATTGTTAATGTAACAACTGTTCAAAAACATTTTTTTTAATGATACTGACCTCAAAAAACTAAGTAACAATAGAGTAGCTAGCCTAACCGCCAACACTGGACAAACTTGTTCAGTCAAATGGGAAATTATCCTATACAATGGGATAATAATTATTATTTAAAAAAAGACGTGGGTCTTTTAAGGCAATTAAAGGCAGGTCTTGCTCAACAAATCTAATAGAATTCTTTAATGAAATAACAACAACAACAACATTATATTTGTAAAGCGCCTTTAAGGTCGGGAGAACTCCTTGTTAGTTTGGCTCAGTTGGTAGTCCGGTACTCACTTCTAAGTGAGAAGGTTGTGGGCTCGTGCCCCACCTGGAACTATGAGCTCATGGTATGGACTAACATTCCAGTGCAGTACCAGGGGAATGCTATTCTGTTGGAAGTACCATTCCTTGGAAGAATTTATACTCCACCTAAAATCTTCCTTGTCGGGTGGACATTAATGATGCCATTATGGAAAGGAATTCTCCTAAAAATTGTATCCTAAAAATTCCATCAATTCCCCTGAAAAAACAAGTTGCTCAGTTCACAGGACATTGCTGTGTGCGAATGGGCTACATGGGTTTTCTTGCACACTCTCTGCACTTCACAGCAATTATATGTGGAGTGTTTTTCACCAATTCTAAGTGCTATATCAAATGCAAGATTTTTTTTTAAATATTGGAATTGTGTAGAGTTTTACTACCCTATTGCAGCATTCCCTCACTGAGACTAGTCTGACACACTCTTTTCCTGAATTCTTCCAATATCACTGTGTGATACAAACTGCTGGCAGTGCACAGCAGGAATAAACCAAGTGGCTGTCGCATTCAGTTCCCCCAATTTCTCCGCGTCTGCTCGACCACAGCCAGGCACAAGAGGGAATATTTAAGGAGGAAGCAGCGTGAATCCAACAGATGCAGTGCTGCCAATTTTCTGCAATGCAGCATTTTTCGTAGATCATCTCAGGTTAAATCATGCCCACGTACAATAAAAAGCGCTAGCGTTCATGTGTTTGCTTTTCTGTTACTTGAGGAATATTCAGTATATATATATAGAATCAGGATATTGCTATTCTCTCCATAATGATGCAACTATAGATAGGAATGGGATCTTCCCTCTGGCATTTATTTACACACACTTATTTTCCCTCCAATGATTACTTAGCCTACAGGATACTGTCTGTACAGCACTATTTCTTTACATAGATAAGCAAAGCTGAGCATGCTCACTCTTTAGATTAGCAGTCATGATTACAGAAAATTGCACACTACACAACTAAGCATTCATTCCCCTAGCAACCGCACAGCCACCAATGAATAACAAGTCTGAACAAACCAATTGAATTGTATTCACAGCTACCAGAACCAAACAGAACCAATTTTAAGATTGAGGTAATAATGTTACATTTTTGCTGAAAGGATTCTAATAATGTTATTAATAGAGAATTGCACATTCAGTACATATCCCAATCATTCCGTGCGTGTTACCGTACTGTGTTTCTCTTGAGCGCATCATTTTCAAATGTTGGGGTTGAAGCAGTCCTTGAATGCCATAACCTGCTACTTACCGGTCGAACAAGCAATCGTAATATTTTTTTCCCCTCCAGAGAATCCTCTGTGTGTCATTTGGCTCATGAGATTTCAACTCTGAGAAGATCTTACAATAAAGTACAAGTGATATTTATGCAGTGCTTTTCATGTCGGAAAGACATCTCAAAGTGGGCACCCAAGCTGGGGGTGAGAGCCAAGGAGGATGGGCCACACTGTGGTTTTTTTCTTTTACAACTGTTTGTCTACGGCATATAACATTGGATGTTATTGAACATCTGCTTTAATCACAGCTTGAATGTTTGACCTTGAAGTTATCCCCTTTGGGTTAACTGGGTGAATTGTATGTACTCAGCAAACTAACTGCACACAAATTTGTACGCATGGGTTTCAATAAAATGCAAACAGTAAATAAAATACATAATAACCAAAGCCAATTATATACTATCGCCATGGACACCTTGATGTGCTGAACCACTGTGGTCGGCGTGCACTCGGGCTCAGAATGCGCCAGTGTTTAGAAACTGTCGCCAACCACCTGTGATGTGCAGTCTGTTCTCTGAATGTGATGCATTTTACACACAAACAGCTATTGCTTCAAGCTTACTGTTGCATACCATGAAC